AGAGAATTGCATGATCAGAATGAACAACTGAAAACCTGCTACTATTTCATTGTTCCAGTTTTTGCCAGATTACATTTGTAGGAGAAAACAACTAAATAAATACTAAAAGATGCACTTAATCGTTACTACATTACTTACTGCAAAAACATGGAGTCCTCTATAAAAATACAAATTTTGAAATGAAGGACTTTAAGAATGAACATATAGTGCAATTCTGTGAAGATACAACCCAGAATGCCCTGAGGTAACCTTCACAAGCAGCTTCACATGGCCTGCAGACAGAATTGCAGGTTTCTCGCTTAAGGAAAATGATTCATCATTATAACCTGCTTTATATTTCTTTAACATTCAAAGTGGCAACTTTACTGATACCCAGCACCTGTTCCCACACGTTATGTTGGTAAAAACAGTGAAAGGTTGCTGTTTTTACACTGTAACCTGTTTTGTCTGGTTCTTTCCTATTTAACCTTGACTGAACCGAGAAACAAAAAACTGAGGTTTAAAACTAAACTATCAATTCAGGTCACAACAACAGACACAGCAAATGAATAATACATGTAGATTTTAGGATAAGTTTTCAATATTTGCATTTTAATATATCAAACTATTAAGAACCAAAATTTCCAAACCACATGGCATCAGGAGGTCAAACGGGGGCAGAATGGTCAATCATACTCGACTCCAACATGTTCACATGTGCTGGAATTAATCTGGTGAGACAAGCTTTTTAAAATGCAGCAGAGTTTGCAGCTCATTTTAAGCAGAAGGAGCAGCATATTTAAATGGCTTTATTCCCAGTCCTGTGCAGTCTTTGGGAATAGATAAAAGGAATAATTCGTCAGAACAAAGACCATAACTTTCTGTACTTTCATAAAGGATGTAGGTCTGTAAAAAAATGGGAGCAGACCAAGAATAGATTTATAAATGAGGATATGCCAGTGCTTAAACCCAAGACTATTAAGCACAAGAATGTAAATTTCAGTGGGTCATTTGGTTGAATAAATGCATGTCTTACAGGATCTCTGAAAAAGCTGCCAATTCAGCTCAATAAATAGTTCTGGAAAAGAAACAAACATACCTTAAATCAGCTTATAACAAAACCCTTTCAATTTTACTTTTTTGATCAATCTGTGCATTAAATTACAAAGTCTGAAAAGCTAATATTTGTGAGCAGCAAGTATTCCGAGTAATGACTGACATTTACTTTTACTTAAAGTTTCTGTACTAATTTAACAGCAGAATGACTCCTAATTGAACCTGATTATATCAGTAAATATCTCACAAACTTTAATTTATCTACTAAACATAAGTCAGGACACCATGATTTATGCATATAGTGTATAGTTCAAACTTATTTCACATTTCATCAACAAATATCAAGACAACCCAAGAAAAAGTAGTGAAGTTTGTTTGTTTTTTACAAATAGAAAAATAAAAAGGATGCCATTCATATTCATTCAGTCTCTAAGTGAAAACTTTATAGAATCACCTGATGCTCAAAATACAGCTGCTAGTTTTTTTCATGTATGTGTATAGCAGCTTTCTACCTCTAAAGACAATTTAATTTTATTTCCTTTTAATACAAGATGAAAAACAGTTTGATTGGACAAAGAAAATGCTGCTCATTTTCTTCTGTTTCACAGTTATGTCTAGTTTGTGTTCTTCTGCCAGACCAACTACCAAATCTACCAACATTGCTGTAAGATAACACTTTGAAATGCTCTTGGTGTTTGGACACTGCACCGTAACTCCACACAAAATAGATAGTAGTTGTGACGATTAAAAGAAAAATTATTGGTCGGCAAACTTTAAACAAAGTCCTTGTGTCCTAAATCAATACAGTGTAGTTAGGGGAAGAAAGCAGCCCAATTAAAATCTCAAGGCTGATGTATCTGACAGCTCGCTTTAAAGAAGGGTACATTCCTAAGATTAAAGCGAGTTTTGCCATGACACAACTGGCTGTTTTTCTCTCCCTGTTCTTTTTGCAAAACTTTTGTTAAGCCAAATTAACTTGGCTGCTGAACTCAGGAACCTGGGGAAAAGTAAGACTGAAAGCAGCTGTCAAGCTTTCAATGGGATGATTAATCAACCTCAAAATCTCAACAAAAATCAAAACCTGGGAACTTCCAACTCTAGAACGACAACAGTCTTTAGTCTGTACCTATAAGACCATCTTCATAGTTCAAAGCGATTGATGCTGTGCTTTCATACAGTAACTCTATTGGTCTTTTTTTACTTATTCCAACAAATAAAAAAAATTAGCAGCAAAAGATAAAGGGTTGAGAGCAGAAAATCTGAATTAATTTTAACTGTTTTCTACATAACCATATCCTCCTTTGATCAACTAGCAATAGTTCAGCAAACTATACTGAGGTGCTAAATTTCACTTTCATACGTATACAATGTTTTATGTGTACATATTTCCATGACCTAACATATGGACCACTTTGACAGAGTGGCTATGAAATTTATATTCCAGTATGACAGAGTAAAATATGAAAATGTTCACTGGCAGGGGGAGAAAACACTGTTGTGTTTCCATTGACCATATAATTGTGTAAATTGGAAGGACAAAAATAAATTTGATTAATGGAAACATAGAAAAAATATTTGGTTTTCTGATAAAATATTTTGGTTTCTCAGCCTTATCAAAATCAATGTATTTCACAAATAAAATACAATGGAAAAATGTTTTCACATCATACAAGTCATCTGATCAAAACTAAAAGTCAAAGAAAACAATTGGAAGTTGTTATATGAAGATGGGGTGGCGTTTAATGACTTATGTCGTGAACAAACTTATTCACCTGGGATTTTAATTGTGCTTATTATTCAATGAAAATGGCGCAATTGCAAAATTGTGTTGTTTTGACATTAACAATAAATGCTATGCACATTGGCAATGGAAACACAGCTATTGTCACACCATAATTAAAGTTCTTCTGACTTGAGTTATTCTGTTAAAATTCATTTTATCAAAACTCATGGAGAATACGGCCGCACAAAATGTAAGATCTCAGACCAGACTGGCTGCCAACAAGGTGGTGAGTCGTAACGTCAGACCTGTAAAACTGACAGAAGTTGGGTAAGTCTGCTGTCATCTGCTTTACTTTGATCTTACAGGGAAAGTCACAGATCAGCCCATATAAAGGTTTTAATTTCCTGTGCATGTATCGGTAATATGAATGAGATGGTGAATGGAATTTGACATCATTTGGTGCTGAGAGTCCAGTGGATCTTTAAAAATGTTCTCCACTGAGGTGTTTTTTATCCATCATTTTTATATGCGCTGACAAAAGCGAGGACTAAACTCCCACTCTTTTTGTCTAAAGCATTATGCTTTCTTGGTGCTCCTCAGCAGGAATTAGGGGGGAAAATATCTCTGAATATCACAGAAAAATGTTACTGTCCTTACCTTCGATTCAACTTACAAAAGAACTGTGTAGAAGTTTCTTATAACCAGTCTCAAGCACATAATAAAAAACAAACTAATACTTTATATTTGGGTAAACCAACTAAATACTAAATGAAAGATTTATAGATACCATTTTAGAGGTACAAAGTGTTTAGTCCTTCAACACTGCAAGACCCACAAAAGGTGAATATATAATCCTTATGCAATCATAGTGGTTTGGAACATTATTACAAGTGGAAAGAACAATATTGCATAATACATTTATTTCATTTTAGGTATTTCACTGTAAAACACTTTTACAGAAAGTTTTATAGCCACTGATTTTTCAGTAATTTATGGATACCTTTAAGATCCGGGGCAGTCTGGATATTTTTCTACTTACTGGCTCCTCCTGTAAAATATTTATGCAGCTGTGAGTATTTTAGTTGTGCTTTATAAGAGGGCATAAATCTGAAAGTTTTGCCAGTGTCTCTGGGTGCTTAGGGTGAGGAGCATTTCACAGACTTACTGAACTCATATCTATAGTGTGAGCTGACAGCAGGGAGAAAGCATGGAGACAATGAAGTTTCAGCAAAATATGATGAAATAAAGAAATACAGTACATATGCATGGCAAAATAGCAGCAAGGTCTGCATGTACCCTGGCAGAGTTCTAATATACAGATAAAACATAACACACTGGCATAACAGAGCGAGACTCAGTAAAAATGTGTTTAAATGTAAAATTTATAAACAGACTCAGAGAATTCACTTTGAACAGTTAAGCTCTGTTTCAACCCCTACATTCAAAACACTGACAGCCAAAACCATGTGAGAATAAGCACCAAAGCAACCCATTCAATCACACAATGGACTGCAAAAAAAAAGGCTTTATTTTTATTCCAATTTTTGTTTGATTATTTGATGATCTGTTCTCCCTAATAATACCCTGATCCAATCTTCCTCCATTCAGCACACATAGATATCCTCAATTCATTATAGATATTCTCTGGCTAATAATTAATTTAGAAGACAATAACCTTATAGATGTAAAAACATCTGGGGAAAAAAAAATCAATAATATTGACAAATATCACGCGACTAAATGTGACAGAGTATTTCTACAATGATTTGCACTCCTTCTTGATTGAACACATGTCCAGCAGCTGGAAAATAGGAAACTATACCTTCTTGACTCTCAAATAGAGATGTGAGGATTGAGTAAAACTGTGGCAGCTAAACTGCATATTTATAGATTAGCTCTGACAGAGTTTAATGACTCTACGAGAGAGCTGGTGAGGCAATTATATCAATGTTAGCTTTCACATCTTATAGGATCTGTCAGCTGAACATGCAACTCTCTGCAGAGATACAGAACGTTATATAAATATCCCACCTCCCTCTCACATTCACTGTGTGCTAATTTGTCCTAAGCTGCTTCCTCTTCAGTATTGTTAACAACCTGTCATTCTCACTGACATGCCAGCAAACAAATATTTACTTTGATAATCACAGACAGCTTATTAGATGTGTCAATTCAGAAGAGCGAGGTTTAAAAAAAATAAGCTTCCTTTGATGGAACTATTATCTGTTCTGAATGCCGTTACCTGTTGCAGTCGACGTGCAGCAGGAGGTGGGAAGTGCTGATGGTGAGGGCGATCTTGTGCCACTGTCCGTCAGCAAGCCGGTAGGGGAACGACTCGGATCGTGGTTTGCCCTTAAAGCGGTAGTGGTAGCGGATCTCCTCTCTCACACCGCTGCTTTCCAGCTCAAAGTAGCTGCAGGGCCAGAAAAGACATGACAAATCCTCAATTTTTCAGTGTTCTTACTCTATACAGATCCATTCATTATTTCATTAACGTCCTGTCCAAAATATCCAAGTTCTGTATGGATGCACACAACTAGATAGATTTAGATGGTTCTTTCTCCTTGGAAAGTAATATTATCTACTTAATGAAAGAGCAAAATTCTCTCGCGTTTGTTTCATTAAAATCATAAAACATTCACAGCATCTGTTCTGAGAAAAGTGACAAAATGAAACCGAATCTTTTTTTTTTTTTAAATAAAACTACGTCAAAACTAAATAAAATAATTTGTGGAAATGGTAAAAAAAAAGAGAAAAGAGTTGAATAAGGTGAAAACATGCACTCAGTAACTCCAAAAAAATTTTTGTCAGTAAAATATCTTTGCAAGTAGTGCTCCAATGGTAACACATAAGAATTGTGTTTTATGTTTCACAAAAGCAAACAAATCATTCCAGTACAGCAGAGTATCAGGGCAATTGTAGATAGAAAAATTGTAACAAAAAAACAAAGATGTTTCAATTAATCTCAGAAGTTTTATAGAAAATAACGTGGAAATTTCTGAGCTTAGAAAGTCAAATATTTGCAAGAAAAAAATGGAAATTTCAAAAGTCGAAAATTCTTGACATTTCTCTGGAAAATTTCTGAGATTAAGCTCAACATTTTTGAATTTGCTTCTTGCAAATTTTCTACTTTTTGGTGTCCAAAATTTATGCTTTACATTTGAAGGACACTGCAGCTGTACACAATTAGGCTCTGGTCGCACCATGTGGTCTTTCCACTTTATCATCCATGATAAATTAGAAGCTGGATAATCACTGTGAGCTGCAGACAAGAAGCCTCGGGCAAACAGCCCTGACATTTTAGCCTCCTGGTGACTAAAAATGACCTGAAAACAGAAACCTTTATCCAGTTTGAACAAAGGAAAAAATATATATTCGTAAAGACGTACTTCCATGTTATAAAACCTGAACAATAAGATTCCAGAAAATCCATCTCCTTTTTCAATTCACACATATCATTGCAGGATCACAGGAACATAAAACATAATACTTATGTCAACTAATTAAAGCAAAAACCAAAATAAAAAATAGATATCAGCAATTTTATGTCTGGGTTCTGCAATTCCCAGACTTCCCAGCCAGCAGCAACTCCTGCTGGCTAATTGCTGCTGGCTAGTCTGAAGGAGCTGAGTGGGGGAGTTCCAGGAAAGCGCTGATCTGTGAAGCAGAAACTGAGAAACTTTGAAACTGCATATCAGAGAAGGTGGGCCGAGGTCCATCCAAGCATTTCGCAGCGCTGAATGGTTGTCATGGAGATTAGAAGATTTCTCAAACATGTATGAACGAATCAAGGCAACACTCCACGTGTGTTTTTGATCAGGGAATAACATAACATGATGTAAGGCTTAAAAAAATACATAATACTGCCCCAATAAATGCATATTTGAGCCATATATAAAATAGAAACTTTCCTTTCAGTCAGTTAAGAGATTTTATTTACACCTTTGTTACCTGCTTTTGCTGGATCTACGGGTTTTTTTGTTTTTTTAATACAATGACAATAAAGATGGGCATAGTCTTCCACCATGTAAGTCAAAAAATAAACAGGAGTGGCAACAAGAACATTGCACATTCTTGTCAACTCAAACCGTTCTGCTCAGCTAATGAAGGCACATCAGCCCCCCGCAAAGCAGGCTGCGTTAACGCTAAAACAATTATTACACACTAAATTAACAAGGAAATGTTTTTTCACAACATCCAATCCCATTTGCATGCATAAACGAGTGGCGGCTTCTTCACATATCTGTGTGAGCGAAGAAGAGAGAGCAGTGGAATCAGTGCATCTATGACCAGCCAGTTCGGCAGTCTTTATACAGCATGTCATCTCTCTGAAATTAAATGAATACATCACTCTGTGCCTGTGCTGGGCACCGACCTGACACCCTATCTTCATCATGCTCCTGGAGCCAGAGCCGCTGATACTTGTCAGCTGGAGAAGAATCATTTGCATCGAACGAGGAGCAAAATGAAAACGAGAGCTCTCCAGCTTCGCCTCTCCCACTGATGGAAGCCTCCTCGGGGCTTCAAGAGACCCGGAATCACCGAATGAGCAGAAACACTGTTATCCTGATTTGACTCATGAAATAATCATCAAAGACATTAACTCCACTCCACAGCTAGTGTTTATTTTATGAACTATTTAATGGTAGCTATTGTATGCCTGTGTTACAGACCAGTTAATGAGAGGGGGTGGGGAACTGCAGACTATTGGCAGGCAATAAGTTTATTATGAATAGCTCAGTCTGATGGACACAAAAATTTGGCTTGCCTCACTTTGGAGCTTTTTCTACGCAAAATCTAAAAAAAAAAAAAGAGCCTTATCTGTTTCCACAGGCTTTCTTTTATTGATGATCCTTTCATAAGCAGCATTGTGCAAAGCTGTTATACTAATGGCATCTGCATGGATCTGAAATACTCCAACTGTGAGCATCTACAGCTTTCAGAATAAGAAAAATAATGTTTGCATATCAAACAAATAAAAGACATGGCTGCCAGTGTTGATGAAGGGATTGTTGTGACGCAAAAATTAAACTATTGTGGAACTCTCTGCAGGGAAACAAACAAACAAAAAAAAAAAAACGCCACAGAATATAATAGCAATTTATTGCACGATCTAAAACAATTTCAATTTGTTAAATGTGAAGTTTCATGATAAGATAACAAGTGAATGGGTGGGTTAGTGTTTGTGTGCAGTGACATGACAAAAACATGCATTTACCAATCACTGAGTGAAAAACTTTAATTCAATTTCCAAACGCTCGAGCAAATATTTGGAGCACTTTGTCCAAATTTAACTGGACGACGACGAAAGCTAAATAACTACAGTATTAAATTGGTAGTAGCAAGGTCACACACTCCTCAAAACCGCAAACATTTACATGCAGGACAGTTAAAGAAACAGACAGATATTTATTAATTCACAAAGTTTTAGTACATTTAGTGTTTTATGGTAAAGCAGCTGGAGTTTTTTATGAAATGCATTTAGAAGCAATTACACTTCATGTCAAGGACATAAAGTCCCAACACCAGTATAATAAAGTGACTAATGACTGCAGCGTTAAATACCTTTCATCTAATCTCCATAAATCCCATCTCTACTCGTCACCTCACAATTTGAATTTATAGCACCGCCACAAATCTGTAACTTCATCTGTGTTTCATCAACAAGCCTTTCAAGCTGCAGCTAATCAGGGTTGTAATATTTTTGATGTTTTTCATTATAGTTCAGTTTTATTTGATTTTTTTATTTTTAATTTTTTTGTCTAATTCAGTTAGTTTTAATAAGTCTATTAAAACTATGGGTTTGCTAGTTTTCATTAGCCAAAGTCAATTTTCCTCGCTTTTTGTCCTTCATTAAAACTTCTCACTGACCAGTAAAATGTGGTACCTTTGGATCTAATTACTCATTTGTCATAGCAAAGTACTGTGTCCCTTTTACATATATATTACACATGCATTTAAGATGCATGGCGTTATGTTGACAACTGTACAGCTAAAACCAAAGGTGAGCAGTTTTTTTGGGATCTTGTGCGCTTGACGTCATGTTGCACCATGACTGTACATTTAGTGATTATTAAAATAGAGGATCTTGTGAAGATCCAAAGGACTGACTACTAAGCAAACAAAGAGTCACATGATGGCTCACCGTTTTCTGATATGAAGGTTTGGGGCAGAAGGCAGGGTTCAGATTTTGTGTGTGACAGCTCAGAGAAGAAGTTGTTTTGGTGACAAGTGGTCTTCATCAAAATGCAGGGGCATCATCAGTAAGAGAAAAGTTTTGGAAATGAATGCCTGCCTCAGAGTGCTGGACTAGCTGTATATCATCCTGTCCTTTTCCCTCACCTCCAGTGTCACACCGCTATTTTATGGTGGGTAGCTGACAGCCAATTATCTGCTCAATAGGAAGGGTCAGCCCTTTCAGGCTCATCTCTGGTACTGGAGAAGGAAATAAGGCAGATACTACAACGGCAAAACAGACCGACGCCTTCAGATAATGGCCTGGAAAATCTGACTAGGTTTGCACATAAGAATTACAATTTAGTTGTCACAGGTTTGGCTGTCCTTGATTCAGGTTCTTGCAATGCTGGAAAGGTATTAGCAGGTAGGTGCAACTTCCACAAGTGACCACAGCTTGAGGTATACAGATCAATTTGCAGGAGAAAATCAATTCTCATTTTCACAGTTTGGACTGTGTTAAGTGGTTCATTATCAGCAGAAAAGTATTGTATGAGAGCGAGAACCCCTCTCGTTTTTGGTGTGAGCTTTATGACTAGGTCTGTTTTAAATGGTCCAGTAGAGGGGGGTCATTATACTGTAAATATATATATGTATATTTTTATATACACAGAGCTAATAAACAGTTATATACATGTGTCTCACCAAACTCTAAATGTTGGTTCAGAAATTTATTAAAAGCATTTCTGACTACAATTTCTCCAACTTTAAATAATTCTGATGGAAAGTGTCCCATCTCAATATTTCTGCATGACTACATGTTTAGAGAGGCTTATGCAAATTTACTGATACATAAAAAAAAATTGTGTTCCTATAATGGCTGAAAGGATCCTGAGTAACCGATAAACCATTTCAGCCAAGGAAATTATGGTCCAGATATGGATTATTATGAATGCTTATTATTTTCAATGCAAAAAGGGTCAATTATTAAGTGATTGTTTTGTTTTATACATTTCTGTAGAACAGTGATGGCGTTGGGCCCTGAATTCACCTCAATCACCAGCAACTACCAAGGAACATGAAACTCTTCTCTGTCAAATAATTAATGCCTGGGCAAGCAACTACAGTTTAATGTTGGATTTCTTTTTGACCCTTTAATATCAGAGCACAAATTATTCTGGCTGCCGGTACATCAGAGAACTGATTATCAGGAAGCAAATGTTTCTATAGACCCCAACA